TTTCAAGAGAATTTTAAAGTTGTTATGCCTCTGCTGAAAGGAGCTTTTTTAAGATTTTTAAAGTTGTTGCGCCTCTGCTGAGATAAGCTTTTTCAAGAAAATTTTAAAGTTGTTGTGCCCCTGTTAAGAGGAGCCTTTTAAACTTTCAAAAATATCGATTGAACTTTTGTTGAGAGGAGCCTTTTTTTGTCGAACCAAAAAATTTTTTTTTTCTTTTCTCAATGTTTCATCTTTTCAAACAAAATGGTTGTTTGTTTGTCTTTGCCTTATTCTTGATTCACAAAAAATAAGCAAAGAGGGGCAACTGTAAACACCATTTTATTATTATTATTTTTTCCCCGTTTTCTTTTTTTTCTTTCTTTTTTCTTTTCTCCTTTCTTTTCCCTTTTTCTTCATCTTTATCCGGTTCAAATCTAGTGCATTAAATACACAATCCCTAAAGTCTAAAATCATCGTCTCTAGCTACCAGCGGCCGATCGACAAGCCCCTATCACGCATGATAAGTGTGAATCACCAGTTAAAAAAATGAGATTCGAATCCTTGAAGATCTGAGATTTGAATCCCAGCAAGCTCTATAAATAGAGCTTGTAATTTACGAAAAAGGAAGAACCGAAAAAAAAATGATAAAAAATTTTTTTAAAAAATAAAAAAAAAATTTGTCAAAATTTTTTTTTGCAGAAACACAAAAAAAAAATCAAAAACAGTCCCCTGAAATAGGGAACCCAGCGCCAAAATATACCTACAAAAATACTCAAAAAAAATAATCCAAAAAAACACAAACTAAAAAAAAAATTTTTATCGAAACTTTGAAAGTCGATCTGGGTCGTTTGGGATACTTTATGGAGAAACCAAGCTCAGATCTGTGTTTAGGGGGACGAGGATGATCTTTTGGGTTTTTTTGAGATTTTTTTACCATCGGAGACGGCGGCCGGTGACTGGCGAACAACGGCGACGGCAGCCTGTCGATCGGCGTTCGACTGAAAAAGAAAGGAGAGAAAAAAAAAAGGGGGCATTTTTTCTGAGAAACAAAAAAAATGAGTGAAAAAATTTTTTTTGAACCTTTTATATAAACGCTGAAAACCAAAACGACGTCGTTTCAATAAAGCCCAAAGCAACGTCATTTTAAGCACCCAGGATCCACGCGTCAACCAGCGACCCAACCCGAGGTTCGCGCACCCAACCTGTAACCCGTTTCCTTCATCAGTCTCTGACCGGTCTGACTGAATCGAAATCGAATCGCCTAGACTGAACCAAATCGGTACTGAACCATTGAGCCACCTAGATCGTGCTCAAACCGAACCAAACCACCAAAACGAATCGAGCGTTGACCAAACCGTTGATCGGTTCGGTTCAGGTTAAAAAAAAAAAAAATTTTGAATTTTTTTGAATTTTTATATATTATTTTATTAATATTTATGCATATTAAAATATTTATATTTGTTAGATTAAATGATGAAATTGTGGTTAAATTTTTTTATATAATTATGTTAATTTTTAAAATAAACTTTAAAAATAATAATATAAAAATAAATTTAATAATAATACTAAAGTAATAAAAAATGAAAGAAAATGAAATTTTTATCCAGTGATGAGATTTAAAGGTATTTCGAGTAGTGATGCCTACGAAATCTCTAGGTGAGAAGTTTTTTTAAATACTACCAGTGTAATGGAGTATTTATAAAAAAAATTTTCAATACAGTAAAATTTTCTTTTCTTGACAAAAAATAAATTTAATTAATTTAAATAATAATATAAATAAAGAAAAAGAAAATTTTATCTAATGATGGGATTCTAAAAGTATTCCGAATAGAGATGCTTTAAGAAATCTTTAGGTGAGAAGATTTTTTGTAAAATATTACCAACGTATTGGAATATTTATAAAAAATTTTCAATATAATTAAATTTATTTTTCTTCAAAATTTCAATTTTAAATAAAAATATTAATAAAATAATTAAAATTTCTAACAAAGGAGAATAAAATGTGTGCATAAACATGGTAACATTTTTACATTACATGCATGACATTTTTTTACAAAAAATAAATTCGAGCCTCCGAAGATGAGATTTTAAAGGTATTCTGAGAAACGATGCCTAAAAAATCTCTAAATGAGAAAAAAATTCTTCTAATGTTACCAACGTATTTGAACATTTTAAGAATTATTTCAATAAAAAAGGTTTTAATTCATTTTTCTCGAGAATAAATTTTTTTTAATAAATAAAAAAATCAAGGAAATTATTTTTTGAACACCGAAAATTGGACTATTTTTATCAAAATCAAAGGATAACACGTTATTAATTGGTACCGTTTTTAATGGGTGTTGTAGGGGTGCTAATCCTTCCTCACGCGTAACCGACTTTCGAACTTAGACTGTTTCACAGACCGTAAAATTATCTTTTTAATAAATTTTAATTAATTTTAAATTTTTTTTAAAAGGATATGTTTTAATAGGTGGTCAATCGCACCTAACCAAAAAAAATTGATGACGACTCCATTATTTTTTATTTCATTTTTAAATTTGTCGAACAGACATAAAATCGTTACGACATGAGGAAAGTAAAATTATTGGTCTAAATTTTATTTTTTATAATTTGATTTTTTTAGTTAGATTAAATCATAAACTCATTTTTCTCTAAGATTTTTTAAAATTATGAGAAAAATGTAAAGTTTGTATCACTTTTGACTTTAATAATAAATTTTATAATAAATTTAGACCAACCCTAACACGCAAAGCTGTATTTCAAGTCCCATGAGTGGGTAAAATTGTATTTTTGATTCATAAAATTTCAGAAAGATAATGTTTTTTTAATTATAAGCATAGTTAAAGAATGTATAAAATAAAATTTTAATAAATTAAATTGTTTTCATCTACATAATGTTGTTATGTTAGAAACATAATTATATGTTATAATATGTTATAAAAAATTAATTATAATAAAAACAGCATTTTTAAAAGAAAAATGTAGCAAATTGTTTCAAAATTAGGATTTTTATTTTTTTATAATTTTAAAAACATTATATTTTTAACATAGAAACATAGTTGATCATAAAAATTAATAATAAAATCAATTTTATATTTTCAATATCAACAATGTTTCTTAGTATGAAAAGGTAATAATTGATCAAATACAAATATTTTTATATAAAAACGTAGTTGTGGTAGGTTAGTATAATATAATATTTATTTTGATTTTACCTACGTTTTGTATATAAAAAACATACTAATTGATAAAACTAAAATTTTATTTATATTTCTCTATATCAATTATTATGCTTCTTGTTATAAAAATGTAGTCATTAATAAATCGTAGTAATTGATTACTTAGAATTGATAATGTTTCGAAGATAGAAAACGTAATTTTTGTTGACAATATAAAAAAATATTTTTCATAATTCAACAAAGACGATGTTCTTAAAATAAAAAATGTAATTTTTATTGAAAACATGAAAAAATATATTTTTTAGAATTTAATAAAAATGATGTTTTTAAGATAGAAAACACATTTTTTGTTGAAAAGATTGGGTTTTTAAGATAAAAACCCAATATTTATTGAAAATATAAAAATTATATATTTTAGAATTTAATAAAGATGACATTTCTAAAATTACAAAAAAAAAAAAGAATCTTTGTTGAAAATATAAAAAAAATTATTCTTTAGAATTCAACAAAGATAATATTTTTATAATAAAAAATGTAATCTTTGTTGAAAAGATGACATATTTAAGATAAAAACAAAGTTTTTTGTTGAAAACATGAAAAATTATATTATAACATATAAAATCTAAAATGCATTTACTTTAATATTATTACACATAAATTTTATTTGGGAGCAAAGCCCTAGAATGGAGGTTTACCACTCTCCTTCCAACCCCACGTCGACCTCAACATGAAGGTCAATATGCAAGATTCTTTTGCATAGGAATAATATCATGTTATTTATATGTTAGTATTATGAATATCACATGTTATTCATATGTTATCAAAAAAATATAATAAAAATTTTTATTAGGTAATCCTACATTCCATTGACCTAAATATAAAAATCTTATATTCTCTAAGTTAACAAAAACCTAGGAATCACATCCTTCACATCACTTTCCCCAAAATTATTTTCTCTTCTGAAATATAAAATTTCGTGAACCAAACATTTTTTTTAAATTTTCGTGGCAGATCATAGTAAACTTTAAGGTTGAAAGTACACCTTTTCCCATTCTATTATGTATTGTGAGTATTGATAATGGTAAATTTATTAATCATTAAATTTTTTTTATTTGAAAAATGTCAGAATTCAAATTTTAATCGTTAGAACTATAAGTCATTCTACCAACAGACACACAGGCAAATTTCTCTTATAGGTTAGGGCGAAAAAACTTTTTAAAGTCGTACATTTTCTTGGTTTTTCCTCGTGTTTGCATTTACTTTCCAGGAAAATTAAATCTCAAGTAATTATGCTTCTTATTAACAAATTTTTATAAAATAAAAGCTAAAAGTTTCTGTTTATATATCTTTATAAAGTGCAAAGCATGGTGAGGATAGTAATCTGCACATATTTTAATTTTTAGTGATAGTTTTTCTTATCCCATAGCAGGCGTGAAGGCACATAATATTGTCACCATCTATTGCAAATACAGGACAAAAAAACCTACAAAAAACCCATATTCTTCTACAATTTGCTATTACTATAACCGCATAAAGAAATACTAAATCAGAAAAAGAGAATCATGTTGCCATTGCTTTATGATACTGTGCCATTCCACGTTATTGGAGGGTCCAACTCCAAGTATTTATATAAAATACAACAGACATTAAAAATTATAGATCTAGAAACTAAACAAAGCAATTGAACTTTTATAAGGAATATCAATAAAATTACTTATTCTTTGACTAGAGAGAGAGATCAGAAAATGTGACTGCAAGTTGACTCCTGGGGCTGGCATTGCCCTATAAATTGCATTGCTCCTGCTCGTCGTCACTCGTGCAGTTGTTTGAACTACTTGAGAAGAGAATTATTATAGTCTTGGCCTACTTTCTTTCACAATCTTATTTGCTTTGCACGCGCATACAATTCTCTCATCCCAAATTGTAACCTTCATTGGTATTTTCTAAGGCCTGGACGCCTGGTACGATCTTTCTTTGGACTTTCTTACTCAAACCTTCCTGATCAATTTGCGGCATAGACTGAAAGGTAAGGTTTCCCGAAGAACAATTATTTTATGTTCATTTATTGTTATTCAAATTTTCTACCCGTAAATATCAAGGTATTCCAAATCAGCAGAGGTACTAAACAGTATAAATTAAAGTGAAATGAAAGTTTAATTTTTAAAACTTGGGTTTAGCTGGTTGATTTATACAGCCGCCCTTAAAAGGTGGTATTCAGTGAGTTTGAGATTTTTAACTATTCACTTAAAAGGTTGCTGTTTCCTGGCAGATTAATCATGATGAAAGTTGCGCTGTCTATGTGCAAACAAACAGTGTCTTTACTGAACGTACCTTCTGGGGTGCTGAAATCGAACTTCTTTAGTCCTAGGCAACAAAAAGAGAAGGTTGTGATCCTAATGGGAGCAACAGGAACAGGCAAGTCAAGACTCTCCATTGACCTTGCAACCAGATTTCCAGCAGAAATAATAAATTCAGATAAAATACAAGTACATGCCGGACTTGACATAGCCACCAACAAAATCACTGAGGAAGAACAGTGTGGAATTCCACACCATTTGTTAGGTATAATAGATCCCAATGCAGATTTTTCGGCAACAAATTTCATTGACCTGGCTTCACATGCCGTGGCTTCAATTTTGTCTCGCGGCCAGCTTCCAATTATAGCTGGAGGCTCAAATTCATACATTGAGGCCTTAGTTGATGACAAAGACTTTAGATTCCGATCAAAATACCAATGCTGTTTCCTTTGGGTCGATGTAGCAATGCCAGTACTCCATCAGTATGTATCAGAACGAGTAGATAAGATGGTTGAAAATGGCATGGTTAACGAGGTAAGGAATTTTTTTGATTCCAATGCAAATTATGCACGGGGGATTAGGAAAGCCATTGGAGTTCCTGAACTCGATCGGTACTTCAGAGCTGAACCATTTTTGGATAAACAACACCGTGCTAAACTGCTGCGAGAAGCAATACAAGAAATCAAAAGAAATACATGCAAATTAGCTTGTCGCCAATTGGGGAAGATTCACCGCCTGAGGAATAAGAAGAATTGGAAGATACACAGGCTCGATGCCACTGAAGTTTTCTGCAGGCGTGGCGAAAATGCTGATGAGGCATGGGAAGAGCTTGTAGCTGGTCCAAGTACAGAGATAGTGGCAGAATTTCTATACAATATCAGCTCTGAGGCCCTGCTCGCTAAACCTGCCAGTAGAGTGTCTTGTGGCATAATGCTGTAAAATCACATCTGACCAGGAAAAACTAGTGAAGTAATAATACATTTCAATGTTAAATAAAATAATGGATATATGCTACTTAATGGAAGTCACTTTTGGAAAAAAAGATACTCCGATTTCATGGCCCCCGCCAATTTAATGATATGAAAGCATTTTTTTCCTTTTTAGTGTCACATCAGTTGAAACTTGAGATGCCATTTTTTTTCCTCATATTCTTGTATCGGAAAGCACTGTTAGGACACCTTTATCTTGCCATTTTAACTGCAAAAATACAAATCAAGTGGTGCAACTGTTTAAACTTGTTACTGGGATTTTGAATTGTACTGCAGATTTTAGGAGAAAAGACCCATGCAAATGTAAGTTATTTTGTTTTTATTTTCATTTGGCAAGACATGTTAATGCAAGTTCATTGTTGACAGAGTGTAGAACAATTTTATCAAAAACACTCCGAACACAAAAACAGTACAACAGCAGTAAAAGAACTCAAATGCAATGTACTTTAATAGTGGCCGTACAGTTGGAATGCAACTTAGAAACCAGTGCTTGCCGGCTGACTTATAATTTTTAGTGGGGGACTTGGGCTGTTGGAAGAACACGCCTGCTGCTTATGCCCCATGGCTAGCTGGTGGTGTCTGGTAGCTGCTCAGATTCTCATTGCCACTGGCCAAAAGAAAAAGACTGAAAATTTGTTATTAACAAAAATGCATGAGACGCAGAAGATGTTCTGAATAAAAAACGCTTATGTTGGTTATCAACTTTTTTTTCTTTTTTCTTCCTTCAATTTTCTTATTTCTAGGTATATATCAAGGTTCGTCTCTCAGGGAGCAATTTATATAAAGTTTTTTAAATGAAGATTGTGAAATTTTTTATTAAAATAATTTAATAAAAAATATAAACTAATAGGTTCATAGAGTTCAATAAAAGATCAATAATATATAAAAAATTATTAAAAATATAGTGTATAATTAAATTTATTCAATACTTATTTAACGGTAAAAATTTTATCAAAATTTTTATTAAAAAATTTATCTAAAAAATATTTCAAAATTTATTAAAATGTTTTCAAAATTTGCTTACTTGATTTATATAATAAAAATTTTTAATCTATCAATTTTCGTATTCAATTTTAACTTTTATTTAATCAATTTTAATAAATTTTATATAAATCTTTTCCCGTCTCTTATAGGAATCACTCGTTGACGTTCCTTCCAAACTTTTTGTGGTGATAAAAAGAATGTCAAATGTGAAAGATGAAGGATCATTTCCAAATTGGAAACCTAGATAAAATGCTCTTGAGGGATGTGATGCAATATTCTTATTTCTTAAGAATGGCGATAAACATTCATGATCAATTATAAGTTCTTTTATTACCATGTGATCAAATTAAGCCTAATTATATATATATATATATATATAGAATTTCTTAAAAATATATAAGTTCCGTTTATTAGCATTTTGAATGGCAGAACCTTAGAATTGTTGGCCCTGCATGTGAAAGGAAACTTAACAACTAGAGGGTATTGAGCTTTGACATTAAAAAACAAATAAAATATATGTAATCATATGTGCTGATAGATTCTTTAGCACCAAAGAAACGAGAAGTGGAGGTTTTCTCGTACGTGCAAAGTTGTGGTGTGGTCCAATATTTGGTTACAGGATCGATTATAGCTAGCATAACCAAACAGTAAACCCCTTATTCTGTCTACTGGGAATTGGAATCAAAGCTAAGCCAATGAATAAAACTTTATTCAATCAATCGATCAGAACTCTCTGTAAATTTCATTCGGGGGACTATTGTTTGTCGTTTCGATCGAAAAGATATATTCTCTTGTGGATATGATGGTAACTCTGGGTATCGAATCCCATGAACTATAACCCCTAATGATATAAAAGTGGATTGCAACTTCTGGTTTGCCTCTGGCTCAAGTGGCCTTGACTCTTTGAGTGTAACCTCTGATTCTGATTCTGATCTGAAGTAGTGTAGCTTAAAGAATCATATACAGTTGCATTTTCCTGGAGATTTCTAATTATTCAAGTGTCTTAGATTTATCAATGAAACTGTTTCCTTGAGTTGGAGTCGGAAGATGAAAACAAGAATATTTCAAGATTTTTGTATGTTCCTATCAATATGAAAAAGACGATTGAAAACCAAGTAAATGCTGATAAGATTTGGGATAGATCTGACAATTTATATATTTTGGTCATTTTTGTTTTGAATTAATTACACGTAAAATATGAAAATTATCGTGTCAATTTCATATTAATATGCTAAATATCATTTTTTTTTGTTAAACCTATATTTAGTTTTTGTCACGATTTTAAATTATATCATTTTCGTACTTTTTTTTTTATATTATTTTCATATTATGTTTAAAGTTACCTGATCTAATTGAAGCAAATAATATGAAGGGCTGAAGCAATGAACAATTGTATGCCTGCTCATTATACATGTCACGAGGAGAAGTCAAGAACCAGCGTAACTTTTAGCTTTAATTTAAACAAAATTAAACAGCTACATTGTTAACTTTCTATGAAAAACTAGCATAATAGCAATATATGTTTGCATCAAACTTGATACTAAATGCAGATAGCCATAATTGAATTACACAGAATAAGTAAAATGATCAGATGAAAATGAGCAGCTGCATCATAGTGTTAGTCGCCCTCCACATGAGTAGGTGAAGCTGCAGGTTTCACCAAGAACGACAGTGTAGGTATGGTTAAGCCTCGAAAGGAAGGCGGGCAAGTGAACCAGAATGTCACAGACACACTCAATGTCCACCACCTTCAACCATCGACAACAATTACGTTGTTCAGGTGTCCCATGATGCCCATGACTTTGCCTGTGCCCGTGCCTCTGCCCATGCCAGTGTCCAGCTCTGCGTCCTGATTCTGGTGGGGGAGGTGGCAATGGGATTAGTGGCACCGTTGCACATGCAGAGTTCAACAAGGCATATTGGGAAGCGCAAAGTGGACAGGGTGGTGATATTTTGCCTGGCATTAGTGTCAGATTATTTGGCAGGGCTAGGAAAAACATGGAGAAGAGAATTAATATATGAATCCCTTCCTTTGCCATTCATAATCCTGTCTCAATATTTCCCTTTTTCAAGTTACTATGCACCGAAAAGGGGGGATTTTGGTATCTCGTTTGTATTTCAATTTATACTCGGTTCAGTCGTAAACTTCTTGCCTTCTTTCCTCAGTTCAAATTTCTTCTGAGGCAATTAAGAAATATAAAAAATGGACGTCCAAGAGAAATGGGGGGATTGGTTGTTGATGTTATGGAAGAGTTCAGGTTCTGAATGCATTTTTATTTTTGGCCATTCATTTAGTGTGAAGACTTTGTTAGGTGCCAAGTTGTTGACAATATATAATATGCTGATCTCATATCATTCCTCCAACAAAAATACCACAGCCTGCAATTTGGTTGGTGGTGGCCTCCTGGTGATAATCCTTTTGTTTTTGATACCACAAAACATATCTAGAATGACGCAAAACTTAATTCAATTAATTCATATCTTTATTTTTAAAAAGTATAATTTAATAAATCTGAAATTCAAATCTTCACTATATATATATATATATATATATATATATATTTTAGGCTGAGAGCTTGAGACCTCCCTTGTAAAAAAAAAAATAATAAAATGTCTGGGGGATAATAAGAATTACTTTCTTTTATAAACTGCAATACACTTCATCCTAAAATTAACCATGGCTATTTGGGGCCGGTCACCATTTCTTTAACCAGAAAGTCATAGTGAAAAGGGAAAGCCAGATGCCTTTTTTCTGCAATGGCATAAGCTAGCACAGGTGCATAACATTAACAATTACCAAGCACAAACTGATCACCTTACAAATGGATTGGACGGGATAAGCTCCGGCCAATTTACAAAAGAACATATTGGTGATCTGATCAGCTAACTAAAACATGAAATAGTTGGATGAATAAACCATCAAGAGTAACTTTGGCTAAATCCATAACCTTTTTTTGAACATCAAGTTTCAAGAGTTAAAGCTAAGTTTAAGTAACAGATGAACCTCGATTTCCATTTTAAAAGGACGAACTTGGCTTTCACATACTTTTAAGCACACTGAATGATTTAAGCTTGGCAACTTGTTTCACAGCAGCATTTTGGGCGACCCATAGGAGAATGCTGGAATGAGTATGACCCACTGTTAATCCTAGAGAATCCACTTGAGATGGGCTATTGTATCCAAGCTAAGTAAACAAGCACAGTATGGCCCACGAGTAAAACTTTTTTTTTTTTTTTTGATAAATGTCAAAAGATTGTAACCGAAAATCACCCAGTTCTAAGATCTCATCCATCTTTATCATTAAATTTAAGTGTCTTAAGTTGGAGACTTAATTTATTTGATTAGTGCATCTATTTTAATTAAGAAATGATATTTAATCAGTTTAGAGTCTAAATTTTGACATTTATAATTAGAGGTGGGTTTATAAGTTTAGCTAAAAGATTGAAAAATAAGAAAATTAGAAAGAAAATTGTTTTCTAAACATCTTTTTTATTATGAATTTGATAAATTTATATCACTAATGCACCACTACATACAATCTTTTTTATAATTCTCATATTATAGCCAAAAATTTAAGTGTTTTTCAAACAGTTTTACTATTGGCATAGCCAGAAATTTGTATAAGTTGGGTCAATATTATAATATTATTTTTATAAGTTAATAAAATATTTAATATGATATTTAAACTTTAAAAATTTTTAATGTGATATTTGAATTATAAATCTGTTAATTAATATGGTATTAACTTTTAATATGACTAACTTCAAATGATAATACGTGAAAGATAAATAGCTTTCTAAACATAACATTAATTAACAAATTTATAGCTTAAAACCATATTAAAAATTTTAAAAGTTTGGATGCCATATTAAATATTTCACTATAATTAATGATCATTCATGTTATTAATTTTTTTATTTATAATACTTTATTCCTTAATATAGCATTAATAAAACTAAATATAAAAAAGTATATCATAATATAATATAATTTTTAAATAAATACATATTTTTTTTACAATTTAGTCATAATTGAAATTTATCTTAATAGTTTCATTAATGGTGCTATTGAATTTTATTTAGAAAATAATTCAAGTAGATGATACAATATATTTTTTATTTCTTTTATAGTGAGATACATTTATAATATCGACAAGATTACATTTATAATATCAAATAACTAATTACGTATGATTAATTATATCAAATATAACAAATCAATCATTTATAAGTTGAATCTAATTCATGTATAATATGTATTATAAAAAAAATTAAAGAGAAGAATTAAAGTCGATAAGTGAGATGGCAACAAAGTAAAGAGAAAATTTTACCAAGAAACAGGTAACAGAACAAAAGTACAATAAAA